CCCTCTCTCTCTCCTCTCTCTCTCTCTCTCTCTCTTGCCTTATACTTGCTCAGGGGGTATGAACATTATGTATAAATAAAAGAGGATTTTAGGAGTAGGATATGGATATTGGAGATGGACGAGAAGGAAGAGTCAGGGAACTTCGGGCGAGGCTGACGTGATTAATCTTGAATGAGGGAGATGGGAACTGGGGAGGAGAAGAGGGAGAGGGCACTGTGAGAACGGAGAAAAAGAGAGGAAAAAGGAGAGGGAGGTGAGGGATGGGAATAGGAAGGAGTAATAATCGCTGGAGGGTGAGAGAGAGAAAGAAAGAGAGAGATAATAATGAACAGATAAATATAGACAGATAGAAGGAGAAGGAGAGAGAGGAGAGAGAGAGAGGAGAGAAGAGACGAGAGAGAAGAGATGAGAGAGAGCAAGAGAGAGAGAGTAGATGGAGAGAGATGAGATAGAGGAGGAGAGAGAGAGAGAGAGAAAAGAGAAGAGGAGAGAGAGAGGAGGAGGAGAGGAGATGATGAGGCTGAGAGAGAGGAGAGGGAGAGAAATGAGGAGATGAGAGGACCGAGAGAGGGAGACCGGAGAGATGAGAGACGAGGAGAGGAGGAGAGGAGAGGAGGAGGAGGACGGCGATGGAGAGAGAGGAGAGGAGGAGGGGAGAGAGAGAAGAGAGAGAGAGAGAGAGAGAGAGAGAGAGAGAGAGGAGAGGAGAGGAGGATGAGTGAGAGGAGAGAGGAGGGAGAGAGAGGAAAGAGGGAGAAAAAGAGTAAGGAGAAAGTGAAAAAAAAAAAAAAAAAAAAAAAAAAATAAAAAAAAAAAAAAAAAAAAAAAAGAGGAGAAAGAGAGAGGGAAAGAGAGAAAAAGAGATAGAAGACCGGAGACTGAATAAATAGACAAATAGATGCACACATAGACATTTACAGAGTGGGGTGGGAGGGTAAATGACACTTCTTTCCGACCCAGGTCATCCTCCAAGTGCTCTGAGTGCCCAGTTAGAACGTTTTCAGAATAAACTCCCTGGTTCTCGAGATGGCTCAAGTATTTCTGATAAATTTCGCAACCAACTTCACTGGTGACTTCCTGTAATCTAGAAATCTGCCTGGGATTTTTAAAATTTTTATTTTTGTAAATTGTGTATGATTTTTTTTTGTATATTGTGTATGAGGGGTTTATTTTTTTTTGTAAATTGTGTGTAAGGGTTTGTGTAAGAGCGAAGAAAGAGAGATAGACAGAAGAGAAGAAAAGGAAAAACGTGATAAAAGAAGAGTTAAAACAGGAGGAAGAGAAAGAAACAGGGGAGAAACAGGAAGAAAAAGAAGCAGAGGAGAAAGAGAAATAAGAAAGAAAACAACGAAAAACAAAAACAAAAAAGAAATAAGAAAAAAAAAGAAACAGGAAAAGTAAGGTACATCCAATTATCTTCCACTCAGGCACTTACAGATATATTCCTCGCAGACCATATAAGTCAGACGATGCAATTTGATATTTCAACGAACCCTGTGACAAACTCTCACCCCTTTCGAGCGCTCTGATTCTTTACCCTTTGAAGGACACTTAAGAGGTTGATTTCAGTTCTGTTTCGAGGTGTTCCTTATAAGGAAGTCTGTAGAGAAGTACCTATTATTTTGACAGGCTACCGCCGTTTTGTGACGAGAGATGAGACAGAGAGAGGAGAGGAGAGACGACGAGCAGAGAGAGAGCGAGAGAGAGAGAGAGAGAGATGAGAGAGAAGACGAGAACTTTGAGAGACGGGAGAGAGAGAGAGAGAGAGAGAAAGAAAGAAGAAGAAGAAAGAGAAAGAGAGGAGAGAGACGAGAGAGAGAGAGAGAGAGAGAGAGAGAGGAGAAGAGAGAGGAGAGAGAGAGAGAAAGAGAGAGAGAGAGAGAGAGAGAGAGAGAGAGAGAGAGAGAGAGAGAGAGAGAGAGAGAGAGAGAGAGGAGAGAAGAGAAGCGAGAGAGAGAGCAGGGGAGAGGAGAGAGATGAGAGAGAGAGAAGAGAA